GTACATGGACCCTTAGGGATAGGTACCCTCCCATCTTGGCAACATGTCATCGAAAGCCGGCCTCGGTTCGAGAGACAGCATCAGCAACTTGCATGGCCCAGGGATGCAGAAATGCCTAGGAACCCACGTGCCGCGGTGGCAAAGCGCATACGGTTTCAGAGGCGCCGAGAGGTTTCGTACTCAACTTAAATCCTAAAATAAATCCTAGTTGCTCCGAACTTGACAAGCCGTGCGTCGTGGATGCATGAGGAATTCGTGCTGTGGCATGAGACAGCGGCTGCAACAACAGCCCTGACATCTGCAGTCCCTTGAACTGAAGTTGACTTACCACATATAGTCTTGCAGTGAAGCATGCCTTGCTGGGGAATCCGGGTTATGATGGTCCCACGGCTCACCAACGGAAGGAGCAAACGCTTGACATACGCATGCTAAACAGCTGCAGGAGTTGTAGCTTGCCAACAGATAAGGCAACTGCATTGTGCTTCAGTCACTTGCCAACTTGATGCGGGTGCAAGGCTAGGACGGGCGGCCCTGGGACGCTAGCATGCTCCGAGTGCAAGTGGGCACGGCAGTTATTTTGTGCTTGGCGCACCTGTTGGAATCAAGCTGTCTGACTCATCCTAACCGGCAACAACATGATGTGACAACGGGTAACGCCCAGTCACCAGCAATGCTTGTGCACAGCCTGCGCGTGATTTCGAAGGACCCCGCAGGGCAACACATGACAACTGAGGTGGCCACGGCTCTCTGATACTCGGACTAGAGGGGCGCAGTATGAACGGATGGTTTAGCGTTCAGGGTTTAGGGCTTCAGGCTACGATTCAGGGTTGAGGATCCAAGGTTTCGCGTTTAGGGTTTAGGGATGTGCAACGGCATAAACTGTCTGACTCAGTGTTTCTACGTCAGCTACGGGCTCATTCATGTGGATTCTTGCTCTGCCTGGAAGACTTCTGAAACACTTGCGTCAAACACGGCACTACAACACGCAAATTTGCAACTAGGTATTCACGGATTCGCTTGCCAAGCATTGAAAACACAGTTTTTGACTCTGACCATCAAAGAACATACGCTTCAAAAACTTTTTGACTTTGATCACCAACGAACATACGCTCCAAAAACGTATGCATTGACTGGTCTAATATCTGTTGGTGCATAAAGCTGGTCTGCATGCACCGTGCTTGGTTGATGCGATGCTCTTATACAGAACATCGCGACTTGATGAGCATTGCAAGCTTGGTCTTGATAGCGCCGACAGAAGCACCCAGAACACATATGCATGATGCATGTATGCATGTATATGTAGCTGCACCTCTGCTTCATGTGAACAAACAAATGAAAAACACAAAAAAAAGGTGACACTAAGTTCGAATAACTCTATATATATATATATATATGTATTTACTTGTTTATATATCCATCTATTTATTATTTACTGTATGTATTTATGCATATATATATACACATAGTCTAAGCATCTTCGTATGTATATGTATATGTATATACATACGTACACATATCTAACACCAGAACACAGCGAAACCTGTCACGCCTTACTTGTACGTCGGAATATAGTTTATTATGGTTATATATATTGATGTATTTGCCACTTGCGTTGAGTCTGTAATTCCAGACATGAGCCAACTGGTCAGGGCTTCCTGAGTTGGCTGTGCAAAACCTAGCCTTAGGGGTTTTACTGGCAAGGGAAATGGATCGGCACACTGCTCATTTTCTGTCATGCTGGGATTGTGTAGCACGAACGGAAGCCTCAGTCCTAGCTTAAATCCGCCAGATTGTACTTTGGGGATTTCTATGTCACTCGCGCACCGCGTGGTCAAAGCCAGTTGTCCTGGACAGCGGGCTGTGCACAGCATCTGCGTAGCTCTGCCAGGCATGCACTGAAAGGCGATCAAGAACCCGGAACTTCCAAAGTTATTCAATACCCTAAAACCCTGAACACCAATCTCTGGCTTGTGAGTCGGGGACACGCTTAAGCTTTGTACCAAAGACTTGCTTTGTGTATGGGTCTTCATGGCTGCAAGCGATACGGAAAATGAGAAGAAATGACTGATGACTCATATTCTTTGTACCTTACCAGCACAGGCATTGTAGAGGCAAGACACAGAAGATTGTATGATTTTCGCTGAGGCTCCTAGGCATTATCTCGGTGTTACCGTCTGCGATTCAAAGTTCTGATGGGCTCTATACTGGGCTCTATCACACATGTAGGCATCGAGCGAGGCTTTCCGTGACCTTAGCCCTCATCGCGCTCAGCTCCGTTGTGAACACAACAGCCTAGTTAAAGACGAACCACATATCAACCTAAGCCATCACACGGCCTTTGCAAGCAACCCGACATGGCCTATTTAATTCGTGTACCGCAGGTCATAGAAAGCGTCCGCCGTTGTGTGTGCCAAGTACTCCGAGAAATCAACATAGGGACATTAATAACTAGAATAGGGTTTTGCGGGGTTCCTTATTATAGTTACAGTATAATATACCCCAAACCCTATTCTAATTATTATAAGGCCCCTACATTACCTTTTCCTTACTGTGGCTATGAGCTTCGCTGGGAAGGGCTTCGAGCTTTTGAGCATCGGGGATCGCCCACCAGCGCTGACACAAGCAGAGGCACATGGCATCGCAAGGGCCGGCGTGAAGATTGGTTTAGGGGCTTGGATGGTTTAGGGTTTAGGGTTTTGGATGGTTAAATGGCTAAATATTGGATTGAGCATTGTGTTTTGTAGTGGGATGGAGATTTCCAAACCATGCCCGGCGACCCACGGCACAAGAGCAGGGGTAGACTGCCTGATTCCTGGCAATGAGATGCTGCAGGTTTGGGGTTTAGGCTTGAGCGTCTAGAGCTCATAGCGGAAAGAAGTGCCCTGGCTTCTTTGCGAACAGCAGCTGCCCTAAGTCAACAGCTGATGGCTGAAACTATATTGATGTGATGGTGCCGACCGTTGGACTCCATGCTGGCCGCTTAACAACAGCCCTAAACCCTAAACCCTAAACCCTAAACCCATCAGCCTTCGAATGATCAGCTAGTTATCAAAGACAAGGTCTATGGGCACGAACCTAGGCTTCCGTGACTCCGGCTCAAGTACATTAGCTACCCCTAAGCCCCTCAGGGTCCATGTACCTCTATAGTAGATACGCAGGTTAGTCCCTATACAGGCACTTTGGGGCCATTGTATGTACTCTTTAGGTACATGGACCCTCAGGGTACTAATACAGTTAGTGTACATCTATATCTGTATATATATATATATATATCTATATACATATATATATATATATCACTCATGACATGAGATTAGACATCATACTACCACATTTATTGGAAGTGTTGTGACCGTAGAGAACATATCCGAAAACTGTATAGACCTACTTGCAAAGGTCACTTGTATCAGGCATTCCCGGAGAAGTGAAAGCCTCCGAGACTTCCTCGCAAATGACGAGGTGCTAGAGGCACCCAGGTAGCATCATTCCAGGCTTCTTCTCTACACGGTCGTGTGATTTAGGCTTAGTGCTATGTATTGTTGCTCCGCACCGGGGCAGTGGCAGCAAGTATAGCACGCAGTCTTCGCCGTTGTGCAGCAGGACGCAGAGGACCAGCAGAAGCGGCAGCAGTCGCTGTCACAAGTTGCTCTTGTCGGTGTCTTCATGTGTGTTCAGAGGGTCGAGGGCTTGTCGTTGATGCACGCAAAAGTTATCATCTATTGTGGAATTTCCTTCCTCAAAAGGTTTTGAACGTTTTGACAGAAGTACGAGACCAACGAAGTGTCCGCAGATCCGTAGCTTTGTGGAAGGGGA